ATCCATGTCCTGCGAGTAGAGGCGAGCGACGACGCAAGAGATGAGCTATAAGAGAATGTATTCTAATGGGTATGTTAGCTCGTTATCGAGGGGAATAAAACTAAGGCTCACATCTCAGTCTTGGTAAAAGGACTGAGATGTTCATACGACGTGTACCTTCTTTTAACTACGGGTAGAATAGGAATAAAATAAACATATCAGTTTGAAACATAGCGGGAAGGTTTCTCGGCCGAACGGAGCTTGGGTCCGCTCGTACCTACTCCACTGTCAAGCGCCCCTATCATTGTCTGACTCCAACACCATGCACTTCCCGCCAATTGTAGACATGTGCTTAACTATGTCAGACAATTATGATCCTCCTTTTCACTTTGACTGATCTCCTGGGATACCCTTGTTCTGCTGAAGGCCCTTCAGTAGCACCCAAACATCTCAGCTCCTTACAAGAGACTGAGATGTGAGTTAGAACCATCACCTGTATTTACAAAGCTAATGCCATGTTATATTCGCATGGGCTGCAACTAATATATATACCATTATCCATTGGACTAGGAATAAAATCTGAAATGTCAGGACTCAGCGATAATGAAAAAAATGAAAGTTGTTATCATGCTTAACTTTCTTAACAAGAGTTGTAGTCCGAGACTCCGAGTCAAGGTGAGTATATTGGTAGTCTGATCTTGTCGATTGCTTATCATTTGATTGAGATATAAGCTAAAGAAATCCGAAACATCGGAGATAATGAATTCAGACTATCGAGTTCAGACTATTGTATTAGACTATTGTATTAGACTATCGAGTTTAGACTTTAGCTCCTCTTCGTCTTTGGTTTCTTCATCTGTTCAAATGAGTACATGACGAGGGAATATGAAATCGTGACATTTTGAGGCGAGGAGGAGCTAAGCAAAGGATAATCATGACAGTCCTGACACCCTAAGCCTGTGGTGAGCACACCATACCTTCTTCGTGTCTCTGTGGGCGGCCAGGTCCATGTTTGTCAAGTACTTCCACTGGTTCTGACTCGTCAGGGTCTCCATCTGCAACAACATTCACTTGCTTCCCAGAGTCCATGGAGGAAGACTGCAACACGTCGTCATCTTCTGGCATTGATAGTTCACCATCACTCGAGAAGCTGTCCGTGAATATGGAGTCCATTGTTGTGAGTATATGCACTTGTTATTTGACTCTATGTACCTGCCTATTATTTATTTGTTTTTTACATTCTCAAAATGTCACTACTGTCAACCTTTTCGCAAACAGCTGTAAATTGACTAGAGAAGAGAATGTGGTGTTGGTTGACAATAATGCAAAGACATTAAAAGCAAACTTTCAATGTCGCTCTGCTGTCCAGCTATATACTTCCATGAACCTAGTCTGGACCTTGACATATAATGATGAAGTTGTCTATCAGGATGCCCACATTACAAGCAGTTCAGTGGGGCTCTCCAGTAGTCTCCCCATGGTGAGATATGTGCATGCATGCCAGCTTTCCAGGTTGAGGTATAAAAAGGTGAACCTGTTTTTTTTGATGTTGGTATAGTACAGGAATTGATATAGGGCGCTCTAGGAGGTCAAATAAGGGCTGGGATGGGTTCATATATGTTGTGAAGATATGCTATAATGATATGAAAGCAAGGGTATAATGAATTAAAGGCACCTAGGTTGTGAAAAATGCGAAAATACAAGTGGTGAGTTAAAGGTCAGAGAAAGAATGTGTTCCCTCTTTCCCATAGATTATGACAAATGATGTTCCTATGTTCCCTCTTCCCACGGAGTGTTCCCAATAAATGTTCCTGTGTTCCCTCTTTCCCACAGTGTTCCCACTGTCCTAACCAAATAAAGACATAGTGTTCCCTCTTTCCCACAGATAATGACACATGATGTTCCTGTGTTCCCACTGTCTTAACCAAATAAAGACATAGTGTTCCCTCTTTTCCCACAGAATATTAGTCTTGGTGTTCCTTTGTTCCCTTTACTAACCAAATTAAGATGTTCCCTCCAGGAACATCTATGGTCACCATAGATGCTCGACTCCAATAGATAGAAAGATAGGCACATTAGGGCTGTCCAGATAGCGTCGAATCGTTCGTCAATCATCACCTTGTGTATCGATTTACAGGACAGGTTGGATGATGCCATGGAGACCTCAGAGTCCATTCGTCCTACTAGACTTAGGCTACATGATTGAAACTGATATCATCGTCATTTACGTGTAATGTACAGCTCGGTTTGTAAGTAATAGCACTGGCGCATTGTGGCCAAATGAGCTTTGAGAGTTGCGACTTCGACTATGTTGGATGGTTCGAAACTTAGATATGTTTTGTATCTATTATGACCAACGAAAAGATCTCGCGTGATGTCAAACTCGCTGCCGGTCGCCTGTACGAGCAGCGTATTCTACGTCCTCATGAAATCGTTACCTGTGTTGGATTCTAGCGATTCACGTTCTGTCGCATTCGAAGGCTCTACGAGCGCACTGGTAATGCAGCAATATTACGATGTGCATTCATTGTCCATCCGAGAAACCCGGATCTTCAAGATGTTCCGTACCTCGTAGAGCTGCCCCATCAGCACGCAGCATGGTTCCTTGACGATCCTGTTGGGGTTAGTGAGCTCCGCCGTGCAGGAACATCCCTCAAAAACCTTGTATAATTGCTACAGAATGAAACGAAGATCTCCGCGCCGACTACATGTGGTGGATCACTCAACACATGTCCAATCAACTCTGCCGTTGCAGCCTTGACCATTGGCGGAATAATTTCTGGCCATGGTATACAGGGATCCTTCCGTCCGAAGGGTTAATTACACATTCTAGCATATTCAGTTGTGATATTCTACACTCGTACTACAGGATGATCTGCTCATTGCTTCAATTTAGCTTCCTCAGTGCGAGGCATATCGTGGCAAACACAGCGTCCTTGTCATGAATAATGCTCGCATCCATCATGAAGCAGGAATCCATGGGCTTGCAGAGAGATTTGGTAAGTGCTGTTAATGGGACTCATTATCTCAAGGTTTCCATAGGTGAGCAAATCATGTTTCTCCCGCCGTACTCACCTGAGTTGGATCCCGTAGAGGAAGCCATCCCAAGCATTAAATCGTGGATTCGTTGCATCAATGACCATTTCACAACATGTGTAGATGGCGGTTTATATGACTTACGCGAGGTACTAGACGTTTTCGTAGCGGATGATGCCGATGGTTATATTCGCCAGTCGAGCTACGTCTACAGTACAATATTGAGGATACAGCTGCAGAAATGTTATAATACACTTTTGACCGTCGATCCCTGCTCGCGAAGCAGACATGCAAGAAAAAGGGTGAAGCGTCATTCCCACCCCAGCAGAAAACAAGGTTCTTGAGTTGTGCGAGCTCGCCACAAGGTATCGCGATAGCTTTGAGTTAATCTAATGATGCGAAGCGACGGGGATGCGATGATGTCAACCCATTGTTCAAGAGGTTTGGCTGTAAAGAATCAGAAACATGAAAAGCAACGCAACACTCAACGAGACTCATCCGTGGCTCTGAAGGAGCATTCACGATCATTGATGTGGCTAGCTTTTGGTGCCTAGTAGTAGTAGTACAACAACGTAAGCTCCACATACTTTCTCACAGTTGGTTGAGTGCCATCAGTCATATATACTACTGTAGTGCACGTTATTCCATGTTCGATTCAATTTTGGTGTCTTATGGAGAGTCAGGTTCATATCCTATGGAGTACAGTCTCAATTGGTTTAAATCATGCAATCAATCACACATATACTACATGCAGTACACTAATAATCCCACATTGACAAATAAAATAATAATAAAAGCACTTAGAGAGAGATGTGGGAATGGAACAATGGAGGAAGATGGCCACCATCATCGATGGTGAACGCCCATAGAGACGAGAAACCACCCAACATAGTCCAAGGGTTGCATGGATGCTAAGAGTTGAACAAGGAAGAGGAAGGTGGCCACCATCATCGATGGTGAACGCCCATAGAGGCGAGATACCACCCCACCATGTTCCAGAAAGAGATACAGATGCTACAAGACTGGCCAATGGACAATCAGATGGCCGCCATCATCGATGGCGAACGCCCATAGAGGCGAAAAACCATCCAACATAGTCCAAGGTTTGCATGTGAGTGCTAAGAGTTTAATAAAGAATAAAGAAGAGGAAGGTGGCCACCATCATCGACAGCGAACGCCCATAGAGGCGAGAAACCACCCGTGAAGGTAATGGTAAGGAAGCAAGAAAGAAAATTGTCAAAGGGTTGTATATAAACATCATATCACGTGACATTCGCACGCCACAGCAATATCAATCGGAGTTTCATCTCTAGACTCCGGGCTAGCCCGGCAGAGTTCACCTGCCATTTATATAAAAGGTCCGTGACCTCGCCTAAAGCATACCATGCAGCCATAACCATATTCATAACCACAACGAGCTTGCAAATGATGATGGCCTTGAATATTATTGTCTTGTCTTTCTAATTCTCATGGAAGCTCTGAAATATCGCTCTCTTGTATTGTACTTCACCCTCCACAGTCCTTCGATGATATGCTGCCCCATCATCAACAGTATAATGCATATATGCGCCCTACCAGTACTGATCCGGAGCTGAAGCCATTAGAGACGAGAGACACTCCATCAGAGGGCATCGACATACTGATAGATCCAGCTCTATGGGACCGAGAGTCAACCATACGGTCCATGGAATTGCCACGAGACAACGGCATGGACATCGAGAGAATTCGAGAGAATGCCACATCCACCTGCAAAGCTCAATCAATCCACTCGATGCGCTCCCACAAATATCACAGAGATAGCACTCATCACTCCGACACCCAGCAGCAATTCATTCCATGTGTTCTCCATTGGCAGCAGACTTGTATCAGCTTCCCCAACATTGACTGCATCTTCACTCACCACTCACTTTGTCGGTTGCCCTCACAGCACCACCGCGTTCGTCATCTTTGGCCCCTCAGCTGTCAGCAGGTAATAGCCACATGTCTGTAGCTCCTACCCAATCGGTCGCATGCACACGGGCAGCTGTCGCCATTCCGCAGTGGCCGACAGATATCGTCAGACGTCTTTAGAACGATGTGAAGTCCCACAAGGAGGAGATGGAAGAAAACGAAGATATTCTCCAAGACCAAACTGAGGAATTAAATGAGCCTCGTCAGCTGGTTGCAAGGCTACGCGATGATCAGACTCAGCTTGGAGAGGACGTCGACAAAACACACATATCTCTTGGCTCTCTCCGTTCGAACATCAATGTCATCACCAAGCCATTGCAAAGTAGTAGGGAACCGTCAACGGTGAAGGCTGACCATGCGGCAGGTGATAATGCAAATCATAATATCTGAAATGTGAGTGATCAATGCATATCGATATGTAATTCACGTACTCACGTAGTACAGTTACTGAAGACTGGAGTTCGGAAGACGTTCTTGAAGGCAATAGGTGTCATGAAGGCGACAATGATGAAGGAGTATCATCGACAAAAAGACGGATCACAGATAAAAGGCGAACGAGTCCGACCAGACGTCAGTACGGATTGGAGCGACAACGCATCTAGGCACTCTCACCTCATCCATTATGTTCAGAACAACATTAAATCATGCCACCCAATCGTATCTGCCGATGTCATCAATTGAAAGACGTACGACGACATTCTCAAGCGCTTACATGAAATTTTCAAATGTTACTCAGCAGATTACCGCATTGCGAATAAGCTCTCGTTAGTTACGGAAAGGGCTAAAGGTAGGATTGACCCACGGGTGGCTCGCATGGAAGCGAGGAAGAGAATGGCAAGACAATTTTACGCCTGGATAGCTTTGTCACTTGACTAAACTTTAAGTCAGAAACTAGACGAACGAATGAGCTCACGGACGAAATCCAATCTTACAAGTATGCAGTGTGACTTTGCCTTCACCTTGCAATATCAGAGCAACGATGAGAGCGTGCAATCGGACGATGACCATGGGGGTAATGATCCAGATACTGATGAGGAGAAACACGTTCATAAAAAGCCTGCAAAGTCAAGGATAAGCGAAAGGCCCCATCCAAGGAAGCTTGGGTGACTCTTCATGACAAGCACCGTGCATTGTTGGTGCATGTCAAAGTCATTATGTGTCATTGATGAGTCTGAATAATACGGTCAGCTAAATAAGGCCATGGACATACGAATGACGTTGTACTTGAAAACAAGAAAGGGAACAGAAGATCTGGTCGCCGTCATCCTCGAATCATTGGCGAACCGAGGGATGGAAACTTGCTGCCGGATGTTAATACAGGCTCGAAGATACCGATTGCTGTGATTGACCTTGGTTGGTTGCACATGCACCCGCAATACCTATCAAGATATGATGGAACCATTGGTGCGTTATTGCCATGGTTCACATTCTGCTTGAGTTAACTGTCGAAATAAAGTCATGACGCCCGACACGTATGTCGAGGGCGGCGGTGCTGAACCTCACGACTGGCATGGTGATGTCCATCCAGATGTCGCACAAGAGGTATTGCACGATGGTTATTTGAGATTCCGCACGAACATACTCTGTATCATTAGAGGCGCATTGCATTCAATCACCATTGACCTCGACATCTGCTTCTGGGTTCGTCTATTAAACGACATGAGTGCAAATGAATTAGGCAAAGATAATAGAAACGTACATGGTCATATCCAACTGTAATCCAACGTTCCTGGTCACGCACAGGCCAGGGGGTCCGGACAGGGAACTGATGGGAATAACCTCAAACTCGCCAGGGTATTCTGCAAGCCATGCAGAAACACCTAAATTCGTCGCTCTAGAACATATGATGAGCTTGTTAAATGGAGTGTTCACATTTACGTACCAAAGTGCCCATGTATTATCAGGTAAATTGTCATATAAAATGAAACTCCGTTCAATGGCAGGATCAGCAATAAGAGGTTCCACTTCGGCATTGATTCAGTCATGTAAGACCTGCAGGACGTAATAAATCTGTGCAGGCTGACGCTCGCCTATGTATGCGTAGCGTGCCGATTTCCTCGGTGAGCCATACCGAAATTTGTTCAATCACACATGAGAGTAACGCTTGGCATTACCCATGAAGATCTCGCCTTCACCGATTATGCTAGTCGAGGGCTTGAGATGCAGTAGCGCACTCCACTCATGTCGCAGGTATTCGAACACAATCTGATATATTACATCGCTTATGGCTGATAAGTTGAGCTTTTCTGGCTGCTTGGCAAACACTGAATGCTCTGGTGAAAGGTTAGGAACATGTGCGAGCCCACAGCTCTGCGTGGCGCTAGATCATGCATGGAAGATAATCAATCTCGCGAACTAGTTGGATGATAAAGGATGGTGACCTGTGTGACGCTGGAGCATACGCTCGACAAACGGCTCAACCAGGTGATTGATTTCCTCGAGATATGGCTCGGCGGGTCAAGGAATGACCATACGAAGGATGGTCTCTTCTGCGAGATATCGAATCTCACGTCTACTGGGGTTGAACGTGGAAACCCAGGGACACTCGGACATGGCCACTCAACTGGTCTGCGCAAGGTCCGTGCGTAATAGATATCTCGTCGCTCATGTATTTCGTACTTCGCCACACTCGATCCAACTTCAACATTTCAACGGGTCCACTCACCTGCAACTCGGAGACTCGGAGTTTCAATAAACTCTCCTCTCACCATCATCAGTGCATTCATCCGGTCGATTACGTCTGCTGTTGACCGGCTCACTTGTCGTGCACCCGCCTACCTTGAATTTTTGCATCCCGTTCTTGTACCACCGGCATCACAATCAAATAGTCATCTCAGCAAACATGTCGCTCTTTCTACTACACCACAACCGCAGAACTCCTGGGCAAAAACACAGACTTTCCTCATCAAACAATGTGCGTTTGTTGCTTTGGTTGTATCATACTCTATAAATATGAATACATTCGAAACAGAGCGCATATAATCACTCATTCAACTCAATGCTCCAGTGACTGACTCCAAATGAACGGCTGATGGGTCTCGTGCCACTCCAGTGCATCTATGTTCAGTACTGCTACCCTGATTCACTGATCAGTTGTCGTCCTAGGTTTTAGATATTGTTCTCCGGTAACGACTCGGAGCTTCGCGACATCGTGACGACTCTACTCGGTATGGTTCGGGCACCAATTACTGCCATGAACGCCAACCCAAACAACAGGTGAGTGTAATGTTCTGTTGTGTTCCATTCTCATCATAATAAGTATTACTACAGATCTACGACATCGAGGCTTCGAATCTGGTGAGTAAGTACTGATCCTGTTCCTATCGTACACTCATTTTTGTATTCGATCTAGGTTGCCGACTGCGCGTGGACTGCAAATACGGACGAAGTTCTCCAGCGGCATGTTGCATCAGCTGGCCACTGGGGTAGGCCAGTCCGGGACGGAGAAGCTGGCGTGAATGAGCGCAGGTAGTTTTTATTACCATGTTTCGTATTGTATGCTATGTTGCAATGCATCGTGGTCCGTATATTTGCGTCCAAGCCAGTAAGATAACAAAGGAACACACAGATATATTCAGATCTATGGAATTCTATTTAGCAGTCAATGCGTCGAAAAGCATGCACCAGCGCCGATGCGCATCGTCTTCGCAGCTACGGAAAGCGCAGATACCGACGCATGGCTACGCAATACGAAGTGTCATAGCCGCAATATATCTGCGTGGCAGCGCGTGGACATGGCCATGTTCGATTTTCACTGGGGTTGAAATCCCGGCTATGTTGTGAGTGCTTGTCGCGTTTCACTTCTGCTTACCTAATCCATGTATGAGGTAAATCGTTCATTCCTCTCTTACAAATTCAACCGTTATACATAGTCAGCAACGCGTTGGAATCGACTTCATACAACAATCCACAATGTGCCTCTCCGCATCGAAACGTACCGCCGACGCTGTGCTTACTCCAACGAAAGCCAGTAAACGAATGCGCTTGCGTTTGACGTCGCCTGAAGAGACATCAATGGTATGTTCCGATTCATATTTCAAATATATCTAAGATATTAACTGACCGTTGGATGAAAGGACGCCCGATGCAACTGTCGTCGCTCCTCAGAGAACGAATGTTCTATGAGGGAGCACGCATATGCGCTCCTCGAGACCCTGGAACGATTAGAGTTTCACGTCGAATATTTGGAGGCTGATCGACTGCGAGATAGGGAGGAACTGGAGGATACACGCATCAAACATTGTCAAGAGATTGAAGAGTTGCAGAGCAACCATAATGAAGAACTTGACAGGTTCCGCGAGCGCATTCACGCATTGGAAGATGAAACGCGATACCAGCAGGCGATGCTAGGCGTCCTCAACGCGGAGGTCGAGCGGCTAGAGGCTGAAACGGATTTGAAAAGGACGGAAATCGAGGGCTACATTAGCCACGGCGTTGAAGATGGTATGGCTCGCCGAAAGACGCTTGCGTTCATGAGAGACACGATTGTTAAAATGTTCGACAATGCTAACCTGTAGTCCTGTCTTTCAAACGTTTATATCCACCGTCCACATTCGTCGTTTTGTCCATCATTGCATTCTCAGATGATTCAGATCTTCGCACTACAAATCAGATCTATTGTCATGTTCTCGCTTCCTCAGAGGCAACTAGCGTCTAATGTAAGCTAGAATCAAATTATGTCTACCTTGGACTGCATGGGTTCACCGTTGTTAAGCCTACCAGTGATAAGTTTTTTTTTCGTATCGGAACACGACTGACATTGCCTCACATTATGGTGGGTTCGTCGGCGCTCCATCGCACTGGTCTGCCACCGTTATTTTGCTTGAACTGTGCACGAAAACTGTCGATGATAGCATCCAAGCAAGACTGAACAAGTCATGCTAGCCATGGGTGAACAAATATCGCTGGCCCCATACATTGACCCTCGATAGCTTTACCTTGCATGGTATGCGTGTTGGTCAGACCTGCCGATGACTGCGACAGCCACTGGTGGTACGATGCCATGTCATTGCTACGTATGTAGACCAAACGTTGACCCACCCGTAGAACACCATGTCCTGACGTGCATGTATTCTGTATTCTACATACTGTGTGGACTTTACTCAGCGAACCTTGGAATCGACCGACCTTGTAGCATTCAGTTTATGTCGGTGGTTATCACTTCGGCGTTAGAGTAGCACGGATAAATGATCCCTTCACCATGAGCCCTGCTCATTGGAAGCAGACTGTTTTTTTTCACTTCATGTTGAGCAGTGGCTAGGCGTCCCATACCAGGAAGAACAATTCTCCACGCTCGTCGGAGGGCTAGTACATTCCTGACCTGATGTTCAATCATCACATGAAGTTTTGACATGGCTCTGAGCATTGCTCGACTGCCCATGAGCGACGTTGTCTTACGATTAAGAGTAAAGTCTTGTGGCAACGATATGGTCAAAATGGGGGCTACTGATGCAGGAGATAGCGAAACCAAGGTAACCTACAGACCGTGACTCCTTGCGCTCCAAAGACATTGGGTACATAAGGAGATAGGACGTAGACAGTGAGGCCGAAATGGTGTCTAGATGTGACAAGTCGAATTCGATTGCCTGTCTATCTGGTAAAATGGATCTGCATCAGGATGGCGTGAAGTCTAACCGTCGGAGCGGAGTCCCCTTCGCTGTCATTCACGACCCGTGTGTTGGCTAACTTGGGCGCAGACATTCCTAGGGTTACGGAATGTATCCTGATATGGTCTTGTTGTAGTTGTGAGGTATAAATACAGACTATAGGCGGGTTAGTACGTGGTTCTTACCTCATATCCTGTAAGATCCTTCTGAAGCTTAGCTCTGTACACCTCCACAACCTGATCTTATATGAGACTTGATCGGAATACGTTCACAAGCTCAGACAACACACCTGCCTTGCAAATATATTGAACCAATACGCTGACTCTGTTTCTGGAGCACTATCTGTGTCCTCCTCCTCTACGTCTTGATGCCACGAAAGGCTTGATTATGACAGCGGATGGAATGGGACTGTTTTCTGTCTCGCTTTCGGGAGGAATGAAAAACAGGTATTTGAGAACAAGCTCGAGGAGAACCAAGATTGAGAGTTGACCTAGCACGAGGCCCTGTGTAAGGGTCGGCGTGAGGGAGAAGATATCGTTGTTTCCCATATCGGATGGGCGTTGAAGGAAAGCGCGCTGGCTTCAGGGAAAGCTATGTTAATTGGCATATGTATGCTTGTTTCAATTGGCTGGACGCTTGTTAGCCGGTTCAACTACATAGACAAGCCGTATCATAATGGAATGATCTCCTTCAAAACGTGACTCCATAACTAAGATCCATGTGGCTACTGCCTTTGTCTCCTGGCCATCAGCGCCATTGACCGAGTCGCTCGTCAAGAGAGCTCGGTCAAGTCTGTCCATCTCAATTGTCACATCACTCCCTGGCACCCATGAATACTCGATACTGCTTCAGTGGTCTACCTACGATGCTATCAACCATGACCTGACACACCGTAATCCCGACAATGTCATGTCGTCCTCTTATGCCATCAGAAAGACTCTCATTCGTAAACACTACTTAGCACGATGCATTTATTCGTACTTGACAAATCATCTCGTCTCCTTCATCCATAACGCGGAGCCCAAGACATGGGATCTCGAGGGCTCTTACGCGTGTGAGCTAGATGTAATTTGGAGCGACCAACTTTGGGATCTTGGCAATGAAATTGATGGCTCCTCTCCGAGTCAATGGTGGATGTTTTGACGCCTGGTATGGATGATCGGGGGAATGTGCATCTGGTTGTTCAACAGCAAGGATTCGCGGGTATCAGATCACGGAGGAATTTGAAGAGTATTGCGAGGACAAAGATCAGATCGATGAGGACCTCTGTAATAATGTCACAACTTCGTCGATTTGTCATTCAGGTAAAAAAGGACTATTTGTTTTTGATATCAAGTGCTGAATACTGTTCGACCGTTATTTACCACCGAAGGTATCGAGATCATACCAGTTCAAATGGGCTCGTGCTCGCTGAACCGTTCAGGGCCATGTTATAAACGCATATCCATTTCCAGGTAACATCGGTTGTGCTGCTGATCCTGTGCCTTCGTGTTAGGTCTCGATGTCAGCCGCCTTTCCAAATGCATTTGAATTGTACGGAGTCGACTTCCCGGTGTCTCAGACTCAGCTGGACTCGATCAATCAGGCAACTTGCGAATCATTCAAGTTAAACTTCTGGAAATCAATTCAGATCCCCCTATCCAATTAACGGCTCGAAGGCTACATAGAATTCCTCGAAGACCTGTTTGTTGCGATCGAGCAGATTGCAGTACTCTTTAGACAGGAAGTTGGATGCGTCCCAAGCATGGAAGTGCCTGTGGTACCAAGGCACTTGCGGATCTGTCTTGATGCACAGATTCGAGGATCTGGAGGTTGGTGAAGGATTAGAAATGTGTTACCCTGTAATTCCATCCTAAATCGACTTGCCTAGCTAATGGGTGTGGCATGGATCATGCCGCTGAGCGCTCCTCCTTTATGCTTATGCTGGAGGTTGAAGGCATCCTATGGATCTCACGCACTGCACGTGTCGTGGTTCGCTGGACCACCTTTGCGACGATATCATTCAACACATTTGGATTGTAATGTAGCTGCTAATGACCTTCTCCTGTGGTCCGACGT